GGGCTCTACCAGTCACCTGGGTTTTTCTGACGAATTTCTTTAAACTTCAAGCGAGCTAAACTGCAAGAGCGCTTTCCTTTGCTTCGTGAGAGACTTTGAATTTATGAAAAGAATGCTACGTCATCAAGGTCCACGTTTTGGAACATTAGCTACAGTATAAAGACGCGAATTTTAAAAACGGAAGTAATAGGTTTCCGTCTTTAAACTTCGCGGTATGGTCGCAGAAAATACCATGGGGAGCCTCTTAAATACACCGTATCCTCATATCTTCTTTTTCTAAGCTATCCTTGGACCATTTCCACAATCTTACTATCCACAATGATAGGAACATAGTTTATACTTACTTTTACGTGTTACCTATACGAAGGTACTCATAGGTGGAAGGTAAAGGAAGACACTCCCACGGAATACCATCGTAAAATAGCAGCTGAATGATATTAGTATTGTGAGTATCCTCAAGGTTGACGACGCATCAATCTTGAGGACACTCTTTGTTTCACAATCGAAAAAAGATGTAGATGTCTATATTTGTCACCGTGCCATCAGGTGAAATGTGCCCGTTCGTCACCCTTACTCTATAAAAAAATACTTAAATATATCGCATTTAAAAGCTATACGCAATGCACAAACTGCCAATCTACATCATGTTTATTCTTTTTCATGAATTTGAAAAAAGAATAAACAAGACGTATCTATGTACTTTGTGCGTTGGAAATAAAGGACAAGAAAGCTATGTACTTTGTGCACTGGAAATAAAGGACAAGAAAGCTACTTCCGAGGAAGTCAAACTGCGCTCATGCATGCCAAAAGAAAATTAACATAACGATATATTATGCGCATTCCCCTTGGAAATATTTAAATGTGGCCAGAGAGTTGCTATTTTAAATTTACGCGAAGCTTGTGTTATTTCGTACAAAAAAAGCACTATTCTAATTTGGCGCGAAAAAGGAATATGTCACGGCAAGTTTATACTTTTTAAACGTAAAGATATGGGTTAAAGTTCAAAGTCGTTATTCCAAAAACGAAAAAGTTTTTGTGTATTTTTTTTTTCATGTATTAGGTGAACCATTCTTTTTATTAGATATATATAACATGACAACGAAGGTTCATTCGTGGTATGCCTAACAATAAAATTTATTATTCTGTACACATATAACCTACATTGACCCTTTTCAAATTACTCGCCAGTAAATAAAGTGTATTTTGAATAAAGATAAAACGTAATAGGTACCGAAATAAATTGGTAAATGTTGCACCGCTTTTAAAGCACCTTTAATTAATTAAAGAGCAACACAGGTTTATTTTTATCGTTTTTTTTTCTTGGTAATGGCAATTTGTCAAAAACTTTGAATCAGTGTTAAATGCAAAATATAAAACTATTTTATTGTTAAATATGCCATCATTTTTAATAGTCATAAGAAAGCAACGGGAATAAAAGGCTTTTCTAACACTTAGTTTTTGCCGAATTAGAAAAATTTCATGAAGTTGTTTAGTTATATAATAAGGGTGACAAACAAGCACACACCTGAGTAAGTGGATGCACAGCATCAGTGATTAAGAATCAAAATTCAGATGCGTTGTCACTCCTGAGGACTAAGATAGAATTCTTCGTTTCCAGTAAAAAAGGTCTCCGAATCTCTACACTCACCATACGAAACACAGCAGCATTACGCTGCTGTTTTACGCTAATATTCGATTTTTGTTATTAATAATTATAATTACAATTTCAAGTTATTTACGATAACTTGAAATTAATTATTACTTAAGATTTTATAAAGATAACAAAACTTCATTCAGCCATATCCAAAATGTCGACTAACACTCAACATCATCTCCAAAATGTCGACTAACACGTTTTAAACGAAGGGGTAAACTATTATATATACTTCCAACTTATAAGCGTGTTAAAGCAAAAGGATGTTTCAAATATGCTGCCTCCAAAATTTGGAACAATATACCTCCTCCTTTGCAGGAGATCGTAAATACAAATTTATTTAGAAAGAAATGTAAAGTATGGTTACTTGAACAACAAAAGTTGGAGGCTTGGTATTATATATAACTACAGACTTAATTCTTACTAAATACCATTGAGAGTCGATGAAGTTTCTGGTAGCCCCAGAGGCGATTGTCTCATTTACCTACTACTTACTAAATTTGCATAGCACATATGAATAAACATTTTAGTCCATTCTTTAGTTGTATTACGTCAATGCCAAAATTAGGTTAAAATACTGTGTTTTTTAAAATAGTCGGCTGTGGCAGAATACCAGCGGTGACCTAAAATCACCACATAGCTGAGTCACAGGCCAGTTTGTCTCATTACTGTTATGTTACTTAAGTATGTTTCTAAGTTAAGTTTGTGATGATTTCTATTTGTATTTTTTAATAACATGTGTAAACTGAGACAAATAAAAAGCTTATTATTATTATTTTTGGGGTATCTATATAAACTACATAAATAAATAAGATCCAACCAGATGGGAGCCCTCGGCAGGGGAGACCAAACGGCCGAGGGTTAGGGGGAAAGGGAAAGAAACCGGAAAAAAAGATGCGGGCTGTATCGAAGAGCGCCGCCTTCTGCATTTGAGCCCGGAGCGGACTGTCACGGAGTCCCAGTCGCCTCAGATGACCCGAGAGGCTGACTGGGATTAGCCCATTCGCAGAGACGACTACAGGAATAATTTCGGTCGGCATACCACCCCACATGTCGGTCACCTCGTGAGCCAGGTCCAGATATTTTGTTCGTTTATCTGTTTCGGCTTTCACGAGGTTCTCGTCATACGGAATGGTAATGTTGACTAAAAATATCCTTGACTGTGCCCGGTCCTTCAGCACAATATCAGGCTTATTCGCAAGAATAGTCCTGTCTGTGATGATCGCCCGGCCCCAGTAGAGCCTGGCGCGGTCATTTTCGAGCACGGCTTCCGGCAAGTACTTGTAATACGGCAATTTTCGGTCCACGAGACCGTATTTCAGAGCGAGCTCCTGGTGTAGAATTCTGGCTACTAGGTTGTGCCTGTGCAAGTACTCAGAGTTAGAAAGCACCGAACAACCGGAGATGACATGCCTAAGTGACTCCCCGGGATGGCGACAAGCTCGACAGACGTCGACAGTGCAATCCTTTAGGATGTATCCCCGATAGTTGTTGGTCTTAATAACCTGATCCTGTATTGCACAGACAAAACCCTCGGTTTCCCCGAAGAGGTCACCGAAACGTAGCCAGTTGAGGGAAGCGGCTGTATCTACGTGAGGCTCATGTAGAGCCCTGTAGTACCTCCCATGGAGCTCCTTCTCCTTCCATACGGTCTCCCGGCCGGAAATGCTCTGTACTGCCGGGTCTTGCCATTGCTCGTTGGCTAAGGATAGAGGGGTAATTCCTTTATCACTAGAAATGACGTCATTATAGAATGGATCATCCGATCTCGCCAGGAAGTAATGACGGAGGCTGCACACTTCGCGATTATGCATGGTGAGCGCGCTCAGGAATCCACGCCCACCATGCTTTCGCGGCAAGTACAGACTCATTACCGACGATCTCGGATGATGCATCCTATGGGACGTCATTGTAGTGCGAACTTTTCTATCCAGGGCGTTAAGTTCAGTCTGACTCCACCTGAGTATGCCAAAGGTATACATGAGGACAGGCATGACCCAACCGTTATATGCACGTGTCTAATTCACACCGGACAAAAAGGCTGTTAAGCACTTTGGTCAAGCGTGCATAAAACACGTCGCAAACTGACTGTTTCATACCAGCTTCATCGATACCGATGTTCTGTGACATACCCAGGTATCGGTATGTTTCAGCCTCGGAAAGGGCCCTTAAGTTGACGGGCGTAGATAAGTCTATGCCCTCAGAGTTAGCAACCCTTCCCCTTTCAACATGGAGGACCGCACACTTATCCGTCCTCAGCTCCATTCTAATAGAATTGCTAAATTCACAAGTGATGTTTAGCAATTCCATAAGACGGGAGCGACTGGAGGCGAATAATTTGAGGTCATCCATATAGAAAAGGTGGGTCACTTTTGTACCTCCTTTCCGAAGCTGAAATCCCCCTCCCGAAGCCCTCCAGTAAAGTACTGAGAGGGTTCAAAGAGAGGCAAAACCAGATTGGACTCAGACAGTCGCCCTGGAATATACCCCTTCTTATCCTTATGCGGCTTTCCGCAGCCGTCATCCGCTCGCCTAGATGACAGAGGATCGTACTCCACTGCCCCATACACTGCCCGAGGAAGTCTCGAACTGTACAGTCAATCTTGTACAGCTCGAGGACCCTCTTTAGCCATGTATGGAGCACCGAGTCAAATTCCTTTCTGTAATCTATCCAGGCGGCGGAGAAATTCCGACGGTTGCGTTTCACCACTTTGCCAATAACCGCGTCAATGAGGAGTGGTTCCTTGGTTCCACGACCGCCGCCCCGACATCCATTTTGAGCGTGCGACATCACCTGATTTGAGTCCAGGTGACGAGCGATTCTCGCGCTCAAAATGGATGTTAGTGTCTTGTATATAGTCGGTAGACACGTGATGGGGCAGTATTTGCTCGGGTCTGTGGCACCCTGATCTTTAGGAACCAAATGAGTGATCCCAGTAGTGAAGAGGCTTGGGAGCGACTTCTGGTTGAGAGCCTCTTGAAACTGTCGGGCGAGCACAGCGTGACACACCATGAACCCCTTCAGCCAGTAGTGATGCAGCCCGTCAAGCCCCGGACTTTTCCAGTTCGGAGCCCTACGGACCGCCTCAGCTACGTCATCCGGCGTTATGATGACGGGGTCCATGGGCGTAATACCCGCAAACTGACTCGCCACAACTTCCGTCCAAGGGCCCTCGTTGTGGTTTACGGGCTCTGACCACAAGCTGCGCCAGAATGCGACCGTGTCGGCCTGATTTGGCGCTGCGCCCGCTCCACTTACTGTTGGTCGCTCCAATGATTTATAGAGCCTCTTCTGATCACTCTGGAAGAGACGATTCTGGTTGAACCGTGTCGACCTCTCGGTATATCACCGAATCCGCTTTCCCCAAGCAGCGATTCTTTGCTTCAGGTCATCTATGCGCTCCGTCAGTTTTTGCATTATATCCGGCTGGGACAAACTAACATTTGTCCCAGCAAACGCCATCCTGACGGTGCGCACAATCCTTGGCCTGGTATTGCCTGACCTGAAGCATATCAGTCTGCCGATGAGGGCCCTAGCCTTTGCGATACGTTCTTCAATTCTTATTCTCCAGGCTGGGATAGCACTACTTTGTCCAGTAGCGCGTCCAGCCGTGGAAAGTTTGGCGCCTATAATACGGCAGACTGCCAGTATGGCGCCAAAAAGAATTGAGTCCATCTCGCAAAGGTCCCGGCTGGCTTCCAAATAGGTAACCAACATTGGGTTCAGAGCCCTCACGACAGCCTGATTCCGCTTGCTTAGGGCTAAGCGGGGAAGTCGCGGTCGATTTTCGAGAGGCGTACTGCGCGTTTCCACAATCGCCTCTTCCAATGTACTCCTCATTTGCTCTAGTTCCAGTTCCTGGGCAACTGTTCCATCATCGTTTGAATCAACCACAACTGGCGTATTCACGGCGGCATCCACATTTGCCGTTTGCTCAGCAAGTTGTGGCGCCGCATCCTGAGCCGCAGCATTTTCACCCGATGAAGGAATAGCCTCACGTCGTAGCCGTTAGAGTTCGGTGACATCAAATGTATTTGAGCGCAAGATATACCGAACTCGGTCTGCCAGGTTTTGCTCGGTGACGGTTACAGATGGCTCCAGCTCAGCAAAAAGTCGATGCATCCTTGCCCGATACGCAAAACCTCCAGTTTCTCCCCCTTTCGTCCTAAAATACGCCCGCAATGCGTTGCTGTTCATCTGGGTTGTCCAACGCATGCGGTGTACTCCACCAGTGGCAGGTGCCGATTGCTGGGCCCGCGAAGACCCTGCCGACACCAAGCCAGCTGGTGGGGATGAACGATGCGAGGGGCTGCTGGGTGGTCGTGCAGCACCTCGCGCTCGGCTGGCTGTTCGCATGCTGTCGCGTCCAGCGCCAGCTCCAGACGCGCCCTGGCAACCTCCAGGCAGCGGCCCTTTGCGTGTTCTATTTAATTCCATCATCCATTTTTAGGGCATTTAGCGGGGAGACGCCCAGACCCGGCGCCGTTTCATGGTGAGGCCATGTGCACAAGCGGGCCTTTGCACCTTCAATTTTTGCCGAGGCACGGCACTAACATTTGGCAAGGTGCTGACTGACTGCGCTGACGTACCGGTTTTGTCACATAACCGTTACGTCAGCGGGCGATGGGGTCGTCACTTCCCTACGCCTTATTATTATTATTATTATATTTCACTCGACAATACATTTAAAACTTAGTAGAATTCAATGACCTCAATGTCGTGCTGTAACTAGAATTTATTGTTAAATTATCAAGGCTTTCCAAGAAATTATATAGTTGAGTAACTAATTTTTTCACGAATCGGAACGTCAAAGTCGTTAGTCGACGGTACGTGCATTTGTATACTTGGTAGTGCTCCAATTGGACATCTGTCAATCATTCATTTCTCGTGACCGAATCATTCTAGTACATTTCGTCACGCGTACCGGTATATTCGGATCGATCAATTAAATGGACATTTCGGGCTCCAGAATCTTCATTCAGATCATTCGGGATTCAGTCGGTTTTCGACTCATTCACAATTCACATCAATCACGAGTTAAAAATTCTGTCAATTGTTTGTGATTGTTTGTACTGGAACATCCAAAAACAGTGTAGTTGCAGATAGTGTAGAAGTAAGGAGAACCAATTCACATAGGAGAATAGTTGAAAAAGTGTCCCATCTGTAAGCAGTAAACAACAGTTCAAAAACTCAAAAACTCTCCAGTTTTTGAGTAGCTAGAGTGTATGAAATGAACTTAGCAGTTGTCGACGGAATGAAGTATGCTGAGTTGAGGAATTTAATATTTGTGGTGACTAAAGTTGATGATTAAGCCGCTATTTGACGCTGGTATTCTGTGAGAGCATGGTCCTTCCCCGGTCGAGCCGACCCATTCGTGCTACAACTATACAATTAATATAGCTGCAACATGGCTCTACCACGTAAAAATTTTTAACGTTTTTTATCATATTCTTCTCTGTAATTAGTAATATATGAAAATGTCTTTCCCAGTAATGAGTCATTTGTAAGATATTCTTCTTCTATTCTTTATTAACAGCCTTTTTAACTCTACAGATGGACATGAACTCTTCCCGTTGTGGATAGATTTTTTACAGAATAAGGGTAACAAACGAGTAAACAGTTCACCTGATGGTAAGTCGATGCTGTGGCCCATAGACATCTAGATATATTCTCGATTAGAATCAAAATACAGATGCCTTGCCACCCCTGAGCTCTTAGTTGAAATACACCGACAATACGAAACACAGCACGGCAGAATTAAGCTGCTATTTTACGTTGGTATTGCTGATCTAATCCCAATCGAGCTGACCCATTCGCGAGACGACTGAAATGTAGCTACAGCATGGCTCTACTATGTATAAATTTGCCTAATCGCAACACCAGTTATCTAACATCTTTTATCGCTATTTTAGTTATTTAATGCCTGGCGTAAAAGTAACGTAAAGTAAAAGTAAAGTTACAGCCTATATACGTCCCACTGCTGAGCACAGGCCTTCCCTCATTTCTGAGAGGGTTGTAGAGCAAGGAAATGTCCGCCGCGCTGCACCAATGCGTGTTGGCGAACTTCACATATCTTCTAAATATTTTTTTTTCTTATTCCTCAGACATGCAGGTTTCCTCACGATGTTTTCCTCCACCGCTGAGCACGTTTACCACGTGCACTTAAAATCGCAATTAACAATTTCATTGGTGCCGGCGGGGATCGAACCCGGGTTACTCGCGTTCTTTTATATTTACAGCGAGCGTTAACCATCTGAGCTACCATGGCTCACTGGCGTAAACAAGATGGTTAAACCGCTATTTGAAAACCATACCATAGTCTCCTCTAAACCCACGAGACGAAAGGGGGTAGCCGGATTCTCTATTTCTTTTCTTCCATCTACGATTTCTTTTTTTTTTCTTTTTATAGAATGTGGGTGACAAATGGGCACACAGTCCACCTGACGCTAAGTGGATGCTGTGGCCCATAAACATCTACATTTATCCCGGTTTAACGATCAATATGCAAATGCGTTGTCACCCATGAAGACTTAGATGGAATGCGTCGTATCCAGTAAAATGGATATCCGATTCTCTACACTCACCATACAAAACACAGAAGCATTAAGATGCTATTTTACACTGGTAATCTGTGAGAGTGTCGTCCTTCCCCGGGGAAGCAGACCCATTCGTGCTACAACCATAATATAGCTTCAGCGTGGCTCCACCACGTTTTATCTTTTTAACTTAATTAGTACTATTTCAGTATGTTCTGTGATCAGATTTCTAACAGCCTTAACCCCATTCCACGTTAATAGATGGCATTGCCCGATACTTACCTTTCGGAAGCGTATCAGATTTATACGCCCACACTATCAAGACTCTGGGATCTGTATCGTGAATTATGGCGTAGCAGGTCTATGTAGTCTGGATGTTACTCTACCCTTTCGTGTCGACTAACTACTGTTTATCTCTGTTAACCGGTTAAAGAATTTTAATGAAATTTAGCGTATGTTCCATGCAATAAAATACTATTTATTGTACATCAAAGAAGGATAAACGTTACAAAAATATATAAAACCTAGCGACCCGGCTTTGCCTGTGTAGGAACTATTTAGATTTAAAATAGGTAATAAAATACCATTTATTTAATCTACTTTTCATTCGCATAAAATTTAGCATGTATCACTCCTGGCATTGCTCTCTACCTGTTCATGAAGTTACATAACAATCGGTTCAGCCATTAAAAAAAATTCCCGGGCAGTCCAGACAAAAATTTAAAAAAGTTTTTGGCAGGTCAAAGTTCTGTCAAAAACTTTTTATAAAATTAATGATACACTTTTTGATAATTGCATAGCAATTATATATGAAATGAAAGGTAATTTAATTTAGAATACAATTTTATTTACATTATTCAAAGTGCCCTCCCCTATTTTGAACACATGCCCTTTAATCGACGCGGCCAATCATTAGTCGCAGCACGCACCGCACTCATATCTATTTCTGCCGCTGATTCAGCCAAAGGTGCTCGGAGAGATTCCTAATCTGATGAGGTTTAGCGCAGACTTTCTCCTCCAAATGTTACCATACTATCCAGTGGGCTTAAATCAGCTCATAGGGCCAGTCTTCATGTCCGATAAAGTCAATTCCATGGGCGGTCAACCAGTTTTGCGTGCTTCGTGCCCTATGGAGCTGGTGCAGAGTCCTGTTGGAATATCCAATGTCTGTTTTTGAACGTTCTTTGAGAAAGAGGTTCCACTATGTTTGTTAGAACGGTATTTCGGTACACCTCGGTACTAATTTTTACACTTTTTTCACAGAAAAACACCTCAGTTAAGCCTGAATATGAGACTCCAAGCCAAACCATGAATGACGAAGGATAATGTGCTAGTTGAACTCTCGGAATACGCGTGCAGGCTTCTTCACTGCTGTAGGCATACACCTTATCATTTTGTTTATTATAACTTTCTTCGATGTTAAAACTTTTTTCATCCGAATACAAAATTTCGCGGTATTTTTTCCGCGTACCGCCGTAACAAAGCGCGGCATCTATCCAGCTTAATTTTTTTCAAACGCTCGTTCCAAAAATGTCCGGTCTTCTTACGTTAAGCTCGTAGTCCTAGGTCTTCATTGATCACTCATTTGACCGTAGTTCTGCTTAGGCCCATCTGAAGAACTAAGGTTTTTTGTTTACGAACAGGATTTCGTTGGATTCGTGCCTTCACTGCTTTGATGATCGCGGGTGTCCTAGCTGTACGAGGTCGGCCGGGTCTCTTACGATCTTCGAAGCTTGAATCTTCAGTGAATCGTTTGATAGTGCGATAAACAAATCGTACAGCTATTTTCAATTTTTGTAGAATATTGAAATTCTCTTTTGACGCGTAACCACAGCGGTGCAACGCGACAACCGCTACTCTATCTTCTCTCTCTATCTTCTCTCTTCTTCGACCACTCCATATTTGAAAACGAATAAAAATTAATGTATTTTTTTCATTTTCGGCAAGCGCAAACGTTATATTTTTAAAGTAGGTGAAGTTCATCTAGCCAGTATTCAAAAAATTTAAATAATAAGGTTTTGACAGAACTTATGACCCGACTAAGTATATATTTAATTCATAGACCTCGGATTTCTGGATTCTGGATTACGCTTACGCTAAAATCTGTAATTATGTTATATATTTTAAAGCCACGCCATACATATATCCCCCGCCATACATATATTCAGTTCAATATAAAACAGTTATTTCGACTTCAATTTTATTTATATATAAATAGATATAAAGAGAAAACAAGAGGCGATCTTATTGTTATAGGCAACAATTACTTCCAAACAAGCCACAAAAAATTATTAAATTGAAGGG